GAAGGGGAGGCGGGGGCACCGGGGCGATGTCGGTCGTGGTCGGCGGCGACTCCACAGCGGGGAGGCGCGGGGCGGGGGGGGGGGGGTAACCCACGGAAACCCGCCAGGATTGCACCGAGCGGAGCTGACACCTGGGATGTGGAAACCGTTCTTCTCCGAAGCCGGGGAGCGAAGGCGGTCCGGCCCGGTAGCAGGGGCAGGCGACGCTGTGAGGGTTAGCTCTTGGAGGCAGCTGCCTGCACCACAGAAAAGCGGTTCAATTAAAACTCTAATAACCTCCCTAGAGGTCAAAGACGCTGCAGGTTTAAAGCCTGCCAGGGCAAGCAAAGATGTAATTATGTTCTCCTGACGATTTTTCTTGACGGCAGAGTGCCTTGGGAACCCCCCATGACACCTGTCTTCAGCTTTGAAAGCTTAGCAGTCCTTGTGAGTTTGGCCCCGGTGGATACAGATGCTGAGTTTATCCCATCCTGCCCCCTTTTAATTATTGTGTGCTGACTAAGCATGGTGGAAAAGTTTCTCTTGTGTATGTCAGCTCTGGGTGGGTGGGTTGCACATGCCTACTCAGAGGTCAGGCTTACTGGTCTGCTTGTGTCCCCTTGCTTTCTTCCACCCCCTCTCGATTAACCCAATGTTTAAATGGGTTATTAAAATAATGGCCACTGCTTTGGGGAAAGAAAAAAAGAAGAGGCACACTCTTCTCTGGTGATGAGAATTATGACTGTATCTGAACAACTGGTAAAGGCGAGGGAACATATTGGTGTTCTCACACCAATACCATAGTTGGATAACTATTGACAAATGCTGACTTTTAAACGGTGACTGCTGATTCAGGAGAATCTGTTGACTTTGGTAGTAAAACAGTAATGGCTTCTTTTAGTAGCGATCTCAAAACAGTTTAACCGATAGATTGGCTTGTTAGCTCAAGCCTTGACTTAGCTGAGAACCGGAAGAGCTCTTATTCTCTGGGAGGACCTTCTCCCCCAAACAAATCTGACGTATGCTAAACACATCAGTGGTAAGACAGGGCGTTTTGGTTTTTTGGTTTTTTTTGCAATGTCATTTTCAAAAACGTGGTAGATACCAAATGTGTGAACTAGATACAGGAAACCTGCTTTGCAGTCTGCTTTTCTGCAAGAGTGCATTTTGAACGGCTTATGCTTGCAAGGTGGCAGTTTTACTTGGAGTCTCACTTTTGTGTTTTAATTAGCTGTCATCAAAACTGGAGTTCAGCTTCCAACACTTGTGAATTGTGCCTTGAACATGCACTCTAGGTACCTGGTTAATGTTTTGGGACTAATTACCTAGAGCCCGTTCTCTGTTAAGCAATGTACAAAATGGATCGACTATATGGAAATCTTTTTCCAGTTAAATTTACAGTCTCCTGAGTCCCATCTCCCTGTGGACTTGCTGAGGTTTGCTTCAACCATCTGTAAATTGGGTATTCTCATTCCCCTTATTCTCATCCCCTTCTCTTAAAAATTGTTGCTTTAAAGTCTTCAGTAAGTGCTGTTGGTTTAAACAGTTCCCTGTGACAGCAGCCCACATTCAGTTACCGTTCCCCAGAGTTTTTAACAGGTTTATATCTGGCCTGTGCTCTGACACAGCAAGGTCTTTAGGAGGTGTTTTAAAACATAGAGGCTTAGGGATCCTCCGCTAGTAAAACTATTGTTTTATTCAAATAGATAAAGCCATAGATGATTTCTCTCCGCAGAAGAACCTGCTTTCCATTTAAAATGGCTTTTCCAACTGGAGCATATTTAGGATGTGAAGGAGCAGATTTTTCTCGGAAGTAGTGGGAGGCAGGAAGAATCATGAAAAAGAAGGTGGCGCAAAGGAGAGCGTTAAACCAAAGAGCTAGAACCAGATCAGAGGTTCTTAGCTGTACAGACAAAATTTTGCCTCCTCAGACTGTGGGACAGTAATTTCTTTGGTTGTTATCCAAGATGGTGGCAGACTTCAGTTTTGTGGTTCAGATCGAGGAGTCAAATGGGTCTATGGGCCCATAAAGCTCAGGGAGGAGTGGTCTGGGAAGGGTAAGTGGAGTTTCAGGGAAAATGGGTCACACTTCCCCTGTTTTGCTGGCAACCTTCCTGGGGAAGCAAGTGGCTGTTCCTAAGGGACTTTGCACAGTCGGCACAAGAGTGGTGACTGGGGGTTAGCATTCGTTGGTGGTTCTGCTGTGCTGGATAAATGCATGACATGGGACCCTTTTCCTTCTCCTTTTAGGTCTTGACCCCTTTCTTTCACCTTCTGTGGTAGGATGTGTTCCCTCCTCCTCCATCAGCACACCACCTGCTCTGACACTGTTCTGCCTTCTTCCCCCTGCAACTGTCTCTCCCTGTCCTGGAAGTGAACTGGTAGGTGTGAGGTGCTGGAAGAAAGTAGGTTTCTTTCTTTGTCCTCCAAGTACGCAGACTGGGCCTGGTGACACAGACAGTGGAAAGGCGGCCACTCACATTTGGTCACGCTAGACAGCCCTCGGCTCTGCCTGCATTTGGAGCAAGCTGCGAGCGGGGCATTGAACTCAGCGTGGTGGAATTTAAACTGTGAGTTTTCAAACCCAATTACTGGACGCAGTCTGTGTCTTGACAAGCTTCAGTTTCATTAGCTGCCTCCCAGGAGTATCGAGCTGTGCAGCTCACCTTTGCAGAGATCAGATTCTCCTCTGTGATGTTATTAGGTGTTTTTAAAAATGGCTTCATCAGTCCACTTTAAAAGAGCTGGTCTGCTCTGATAACAGTGCCAGCTGGTGCTTCTCCAGATAAGGAACTTGTCACTTTTCCTGCTGTCATACAAGCAGCTTCTGCCCTATTTAGAATACAGCTTAAAAAAAAGACTACGAAATAACCACTAGTCTTGTGTAAAGATTTATGTGTTTCATTTAGGAACAACTGAACACTCCTTATTTAATTGCTTTGGACAGTATTGGTTTATGAAGAAGATAGGATCAAACTAAATGCAGAATTGAAGGTAATAACTTTATATACCTGTATCGTGAGGAAATCTTGATTATAAGATCTCTTATATAACAAAGTGACAATAGGCAAAAGATCTCTGCTTTTTTTCTTTCAGTCCCCATTAGAAGTTCATTAGCTTTTAAAAGGATCTGAAGTACTACATTGTGCATGTATGTGTATAATCTGTATGGTGGTGGGAAGCAACCAGATGAAATAGTATAAAAACAATCTCTTTCTGAGGGTCTGAAAAGTAGTTGTGTGCTTGTGCACACCAGGAGGATCGTGGGGAAACTGCAATTGCATGACAGACCTAGTAATTCATTCTATAATGGTGTATGCAGGAGCAATGTTCTAATTTACTCATTTCTTTGATGTTTTGTGAGCAGATGGCATTTTTAAAAAAGGTCTATTAATTCTATGGGAATTTGATAACGGCTAATTGCTGGGGGATCAGAAGAGAGTAGCAGTCAAAGTGAGGTTCCTGACTTCTCTGCTCTCAAAAGAGAGGCAGCCCTCTGCTGCCTCATTTGTAAGCTACTGTCCTCTTAGAAATCCTTGCTGAAGAATATTCACCGGTGTCCTTGGCATAAATTGGGAACTTGTTGATTGCTTTTGATTAATTGAACTGTGCTCCATGAACCAGTCACTATTACAGGAAAAAAGCACCAGGGAGATCATGGCTTATAGTAGGACCCAGTGCACCGTGAATTTTCATAGGAAAGCCCTTTACTCTTTCCCTCATTCTCACTTGCTTCTTGGTTCCTTTCCTTTCTTTTTTCCTTTCTCTGTTTCTGTCTCTTTCACCATGCCTCTGACTTAGGTCTATTCATGTACTTTAAGCACCTGCCGAAGTATTTGCAGCATAGGATGTAAGTACCTACTTGCACTGTAACATCAAAGGATCACATTTCAAAATTACAACTTTTCCTTTGAACAAGAAGAAAAAAAGGTTCCTGGTTGCTATGGTGAGAGGCGCTATATAAATGCCTATAAATAAATAAACAGCTGATTCTTGGACTTTGATTTGCTGTATTTTTGCTTTTCTAATGAGCTATAATTAAATATCAAAATGGGAGGAGGTGACATTTTACCAATTTTATTAAATACATTATTCTTATGCCTTCTGTTTTACAGTATATCTGCTGAGAACAATTAAATAATAAGTTGTTTATTTTTCTCTCTGTAGAGAGTTGATGTTTTGAAAAATCATAGTCTAGTATTTATAGAAAAACTTCTAGATGCCAAAAGGCACTCTACTAAAAAGGTTGTGTCCATTTTAAGTTTAATCAGAACATACATTTTGAGATAAATGTTTTTTTTCCTATCTGTAAAGGAGTATTATGTGCCACTGCAACATGGAAGTTCCAATCAAGTGTCTGTAAATGTAATTATGTTCCTCTGCAGTATTTGAAACCCCACTGGTGCACAACAGCAAAACTAGAAAATGTCACTGACTTTTTCTTTTATCTTAAAATGACAAGGGCAGAGTAAAAAATCGGATATTCCTTGTTGAAGTTTGAGGAGGAAGGGAGAATTTACTTTTTTGTAAGCCTTTTGTTCTCAGGTCCATGATGTAAAAGTAGCTTCCTCTCTGCACTGAAGGTGATAATTGTAAAATGGATTGGATGGAGACAATAAACTGCTTCTTCAGAAGTCAGCGAGTAGCCATCAGCCATTGCTAAAAAAGCCCTTTTCATTAGTAATCTCTGGAACCCAGTCCACTCGCAGTTTGTGAAGCACAACTGCAGCCCAGTTCCCCACCAGTGAACTGGAGTATTCCCCCTCACAGGTGTTTCTCACTCAGGAAATACGTGGACTTTGTTTAACAGCAAAGGAGAGTTCATAGTGGAAGGAAAATAGGTATTTATAATATACAGAAATACTGCTTTGTTAAAGGCTCAGTCTAGTTTCTTGGTGGAAACTGATTTTGCCACAGTGGCCTGAAGAGAGATTTCTTCAGTCCTAAGCTGTCGAGTGCAGCTTGTGCACTGGCAGGGAGTAGATCTGCTTTCTACCACGGTCACAGCTTTGTATTCAAAGAAGCTCTCAGATTTCTAAAGAACTTTGAAGCACTATCCTGTCCTGTTAAAGGTTTGGTAAAATAACACCACATTATTTACTGTCTTCATTCCCTTTGAGCATGCAGATTCATATCTACTTGCTTTATCAATTTAAAATACATTTGACTAAATGCCTTTTACTTCAGAGCATGTGTAATTGGGAGGACAAGGATACACAGTATTTTTTTCCAGTTACACAGTTACTTTTCACGGAGTAAAACATGTACTTCTGCACACAGCTATTGATGGTAGGGGCAGAACAGGAGCAAGGAATGGTGTCCCTGAAGGTCTCGCTTGAGCAGTGACAGCCTGCACAGGTTTGATTTATATTTCATAGGCCTGTCACTTTTGTCCCAGCAGAGCTGCTACTGTGGCCAGGCTGGTGACGCTCACCTGAAGAACAGTGACAGCTTCAGTGTTTTTCTGGCAGTGAATTAACCTCAGAGCTGCCTCTGAACCTGGTGCTTTGTGCCATGGGTCTGTGCTGACTTCCCAGAGCGTACCACAGAGTCCTGACCCTCACCCTGCCTCAGCACTGTGTTTTGTGCAGGCTTGAGGCCAGAATCAGGAGTGGGTTGTGCTCTCTGCCTGCTGGAAGGTGGTTTGAGCTTCACGTGTATCAAAGACAGTTTTACCTGCATTGAGGTTAGGCCTGGAGAGTCAGTGTTTGACCTGCAGGTCTCAGCTGCCTTCACAGGATTGTGTGGCTGACAGCATACAAGGCAATCCAAGGTTTCTCACAAAAGGGCCATTGCAAAGGCTGATGAGGTGTGTAGGCAGGCTGAACCCAAACAGAATCTGTGCTGCCTACAAGAGCAACTGGGAGATAGGAAGGGTGGCAAACAGGGAGTCTTGAAAGTGCTCCAAGTTTGCAGCTACTCCCAGGGCTAACTGCTTGGGATTGGTGTACCTGGAGACCATGTTGATGCTGGAGCAGGACCAGGCTTCAGAGTCATTGAGAGAGTTTTCTCAATTAGAAAGCACCATTATTACTAGCACATACTGCCTTTTAATGGAGTGGCATCTTTATTAGAAGGCTTTTCTTAGAGTAGGAGGATGAAATACATATATTGATATTAATGACAGGACAAGCTGGTGAGGACAAGAGGTGGAGCTATTGTGTGTCTCCTTTTCCAGCATGGACAGGACAAAGGGTGAAACAGTGCATGTAGCAGATTTTTTTTTTTTTCCCTTCTTCAGAAGTTCTGCTTTTCTGCATTGCTGTTTTGGGGTTTTTTTTTCTTTCAAAAGTTTGGGTTTTTTTTTAATGGATGGATATGATCCAGGACCATCTGGTGGAATTTGCTGTTGTCACATCTAGGTTTTCTGATGTATTGCCTGTCAAGTTATATTGCATGTTCAGATGAGTTTCTCATATGATGTGCTGACAACTACTGACAGCCCTGAGATGGGAAGTTGGAAGCTTGAGGGAAAGAAGAGAGGGACAGAGTTAGCTTTAAAAATGTAACCTTGACTGCTCTTGATTGGTGGGATTTAATTTCTGGTACCTATGGTTGACTTTTTTAGTAGAGAAAGGTAAATGAGTGAACTTTAAACCAAGTGGATCTAAGGTACTGTAATTAAACTTGGAAAGTTTGTAGTCCACTGCTAGTCTTGTCAATTTTATTTTTTTTTCTCTTTGACACCGAGTTCTTCACTTAATCTTTCTCTGTCCTTAGCTCTCTGTCTGTAGACACTTTCACACTTAAATAAGTTGCGGCCTTTCCTTCCTCCTTTACTCCTCAATCCTTCCCCAGTCCCTCCTTAGAAAGGAGATCTCAAAACTTTTCTGTTTTTATTAGGGTACCACCAGGTATCCTATTAATTGTAGTATCCCAGTATCCTAATCCTGAATCCTAATACCCTAATAATTCTGTAATGAACTAAGATTTTTGGCAAATTAGTATTAAGCTTTGCAGACATATCACTTATATGAAAGCAATAAGCAACTCTGAAATAACTGTAGTAATTCTTTTCTTGCTGGTTTAATACTCAAATAATTAACTAAAGCAGGGTTTTCTGATTTAAAGGTCCACAGTGCAATTGCATTTCTTTACACACTGACAAAGATAATGCTGTACTTCATAAACCAGAATCCAAACAAGCTATGAACAGTTCAGTTTTGTTTGTTGTTTTTTCTGCCATAATTTGAAACCCCAAGTAGCAATTAGGCTGGTGACAAGATAAATTTCATAACTTATCATTCTTCATTTTTTAATTGGCCAGATCAGTAAAGAAGTGATTTGTGTTTGAACTTTAAAGGTTCTTAGTTTATATAGTACTGGTAGAAAGCGTAGTACAGGTACTTATGAATGGGTTGGAAGGAAGCCTGTTTGTAAACAGAGATGGGATCGCACTGCAAAGGCACATCCAGGTGTGGTTCTGAATGCAGACTTTCCCCTCTTCTCCCTCTCAAAGCCATGGTGGTTATACTGGGCCGCCTGCAAATTAGATCCTGCCTAAATGTTGATGAAGTTGAAAGTCACCCTTGGAAAGGCAAAAAACTTTCTTCCATGGAGGTTTGAAGCTGAAGATGACAGTCCCCAAGCTTATGGGACTCTTGCAGTTTGCTAAGGAAGAAGCTGGAAAGCATTTACTTGCCTCCACTTATTCCTGTGTCTCCTCAGTGCTACTTCCTGGCCTGGGGAATGCGAGTGCCCTTCTGTAGCTGTAGAGAGAAAAAGTGTTAAGCTGACCAGGCCAGTGGAGCCTGAATACAGGAAAAAGTAACCACTGTTTCATACTCTGATCTTCTGCAGTTCCATACTGTCCTGGTTTCAGCTGGGATGTAGTTAGCTGTCTTCCTAGTAGCTGGTACAGTGCTATGTTTTGAGTTCAGTATGTGAAGAATGTTGATAACACTGATGTTTTCAGTTGTTGCTCAGCAGTGTTTAGACTACAGTCAAGGATTTTTCAGCTTCTCATGCCCAGCCAGGGCACCTGACCCAAACTGGCCAACAGTGTATTCCATACCATGTGACGTCCCATCTAGTTTAGGAACTGGGAAGTGGGGGGGGGCAGGGGTTTTTTTTCGCCGCTTGGGGACTGGCTGGGTGTCGGTCGGCGGGTGGTGAGCGATTGCCCTGTGCATCATTTGTACATTTCAATCCTTTTATTACTACTGTTGTCATTTTATTAGTGTTATCATTATCATTATTAGTCTCTTCTTTTCTGTTCTATTAAATCGTTCTTATCTCAACCCAGGAGTTTTACTTCTTTTCCTGATTTTCTCCCCCATCCCACTGGATGGGGGGGGAGTGAGTGAGCGGCTGCGTGGTGCTTAGTTGCTGGCTGGGGTTAAACCACGACACATACTTTGTGACTATCAAATAAGGAGACTTGGAAATGATCCAGCTCCTGTGCTGTTGTAGGGAAGGGACTGGGATATGCAAAGATCAGTGTGAGGGTACAGCAGCTCTCCGTGGTGATGGTGGGTTGTGTTGGATGGAGCACTGTTCTCGTACGGATCAAGCATCAGCTCAGCTATTGTCAGAAGAAGTAGACTTTGGAGGAACCCCCATAGATGGAATATGGCCAAATTCTCTGCCTGTAACGTGTTTGATAGCACTGCAGGGAGGTGAGGCTGGTCTTCAGTCCTTAAATGCATTAAATTAACTCTGGGCAAGCTTGCTGGGAAAAGGGTAATGAAGCGGGTCAGAAATGGGATGTGTGTGCTCAAGCACAAGCAGTGGGCTTAATACTACAAGCAGCATTCCCCCAGGCACATGGCTGGGGAGCAGCCAGGTCATGGAGCACACTGTGCTGTTTGTTAAACGTATCACAGTCCATAGATGCAGCTGAAATCACTTGTCCAGGCATAAAAGATAAAGTCAGTTAGGAAGGAGAGCAATTGCATTGGGAGAAACTTGTGAGAGGAGCTGGATGCAGTCTAGTGTAATGCTGGCTGTGTAGGGCATGTACTAGCCAGCACCCTCTCGGGGTTGCCTGAGTCCGTTGCAGCAAAAATTTCAGCTTCTGATAGTGGAGACTGATGAAGATCTTGACACATCCATTCTGTTATTTCAGGTAGAGGAGGCTACTGAATGGATCTGCAATGTGACTGACATTGTGCGGTGCTTCATCTTTATTTCATGTGACGAGGAGGTGGGAGGGAGGAGATTATTTGAAGTGCCTGGCTAGAGACAGAACATAATTTATCAGTGTTCATTTGTCTGGAAGGATACACAGCCCATATATAATTTAGAAACGTGTTAAAAAATAGGAAGCTATTGTCTTAAAATCAGTGAGCACTCAAGTCTTTTGGTTTAAAATCTAGTTCCTGTGATACATAAATGCACTGCTGTGCATTTTGTGTTTATAGTGTGTGTACAGTATAAGCGTTACATCTAAAATGAACCAAGAAAGTGTGTATAAATAGTACTGATAAAACTAAGCCCTTCATAAACTCAGAGTAATGTGTCTTTTCCCTATTTAGGCTGAAACACCTGGAACCGCACATGGATTTATCCTAGTCAGTTCTTCTGAGATCACATTTAATATAGAAGTTCTTTTCATATGTGATCTGCAAATGGATTTTTTTGTTTTTCTATTCCAGTAAGTATCCCTTCCCCCACTTTTTTTTCCATCTCCCTTTGAGTCTTTTTCACCTTTTTCTGATTCAAGCCTGGTGATGATATGCTATAGCTAAATTATCAGAGGGGGAAGAGATATTGGTGTCCTCTACCTTGCTGTTGAGAAGTCTATATTTTTGTTTTCTGCAGTGTACTGAGACCAAGAGAAACGAACAGGGTGTTGCCATCCTTTATCACAGGCAAAATGATAAATTACATGTCCTGGAAAGTTTAAAGACATGCAAGAATGCAAATCCTTGGCCTATAAGGATGTGTGGTTGGAAGTGCTGATCCAGCCAAGACTTAAGCACATGCTTGAATCTAAGCACAAGCATTGCTTCCATGGGGTGTATCTACCTGGCACCATGCTATGTGGGGTAAGCGAAGCTCTTGCTGTGAAAGGAGGATTGATTTGTTTTAGTGGCTGGAAGTAGGAAAAGGAAATGAGCCTTTTCCAGTCACCTGGAAGAGCAACCTGTGAGTAGTGGAGGTGTTGCTCTTCTGCATTACTGTCCTTGACTCTACGGTGTGAACTGATGTAGATGGAAACCCTAATGGTTTGGCATTTGCTACCTTACAGTGCATCTATCCATTTCCCCTCCTCACTTTTCACACTCTGTCCATGTCTGCTAACCACGAGCAGAACACCTTGTCTGTAGTAGGTGGTACGGTAGTGTGGTGCTTCTGCCTAGAAGGGCTGAAGCATTCAAAGAGACTGAGGATGTTACAAGGGAGTGCATAACTTTTCCTCTCTTGCTAACAGGGAAATATGTAGAAATTTTCAATAATTCACAATTCAACCCCTTTCCCTCCTGCCCAGTGTAAAAGCCTTTGAACCAAAGCTCTGTACACTGGCTTGTTCTCCACCAGCCTGAGAAAGAAACCTGTTGGAAAAGTGTCTAAAGGAGGACTGGTTTTTTTTTCTGGCTGCTGATGGCAGTGTGCAGTAGGCAGAGTGGTCTAGATCTGTTCTTCATCTGGTTCTTATTCTGGTTGTCCTTTAGTTGAAGCACTCTTTTTGGCTCTGTTTTCTTTCCTCCACTTTAGCTCATTTTCATGCCATGTTTCTTGCTCCTTTGAATTTAATGGCATGTGTGCTTTCTGAGGAAGCAGTGTATGCTCTGGGTGCTGTGTGCTTCTGGTGGTGTGAAGTTGTCTACCCGCTTCCTGCTGGATTTGAGCTTGCATTCTAACTGGAAGGGGAGACATAATTTTTGTGTACAGATGGAAATGTTTTTCTTGGGGTTTTTGGTGCTGAATTAGATGTCATCCCTCTTGCATCCTTGAGGCCCTAAAAGGGAGATAGGGGCTGAGTTTTCCTGATGTGCTAATTTTATAGCATTGTTCGTTTTCACTGAATTACCTCCAACTGGTCCCAGAGCATTGCAGCTGGCACTGCAGTTCTCACATCCATCTCCTGTGTTTTAAGTGATTTTCTTTACTTCATACAGTGCAATGATGTCTCAGGCTCATGATTGAAAATTCCTTGGTGCTTTACTGAGAAACACAGATCAAAAAGATAATCTCCAAGTCTGGTCTTTTTTCTCTGGAGCAGTCTTTGAAGGTTACACATTCTTCTGCTGTACATCCTTTGTCCAAGCGTATCTTCTTTTTGTTCTCTATTCCCTTCCTACTTGTTTCTTTTCTTCCTTCTCTTTATTTCAGTTCTATGTCTTCTATATTCTTTTAGTTTGCTTTGTTTATGTTTGAGAAGAGACACACCTGATTTTAAGTATAGTTGGCTATTTGGACTTAACTTAGAAGTTTTCCTTAGAAATGCTTTGTAAGTGAAGGCCTCAATAATTTTCCCCTTAAAGCTTTTTTCACTGACGGCTGAAAAGTTTCACTAACTTTTCCCATCTTGCATGCAGCTTCCATTGCCATTTGACTGTCTTGTGCACCAAAGCTTGCTTTGCCATACCTATGAGAGGCTGTGCTGCACAGTTCTTACAACTGAACCAACTGACATTTCCCTTTTCCATTGTAAAATATTTCGCCTTTTTCTTTCAAAACACACATTCAAGTGTCTTCCTCTCTCCTGGCCTTTGACTCTGCCTTATAAAACTGAAACAGAGATCTAGATAATTATTGACAGCTGGACTCTGCACAGTTGCATCCAGATGCCCCTTCTTCAGCTGCTAGATGTTCTGAAGACCACACATGTGTAAAAAGGGGCCAAGGGACATTTTGATGTTAAACAAGGATTGCCTGGTTCTTGCGTGGAGATGGCATATATGGAGATGGGGATTAAAAATGAGAGGAATAAGAGTTTATTTGATAACAGAAAGGTTTTCTGTATTTGTGAAAAATTGTTTTTTGTACCATCCAGCTTACTTGCCGAAGTTCAATGGAGAAAATGTAATTCTCAATAAAAACGGTTTCATTTTTTGATTGCAAAGATTTCTTTGTATATAGTGTTAATTTCCTTTCCATCTTTTTACTGGTTTACCTTAACAATTTGATTACATGTATATTTTTTCTCTTGAGAGACAGTGGGTGTGATTAAACTCTGTTTTAAACTGTTATCATGTAATTAGCAGGAAAAGATGTCTCAAGTCTGATCTGCCTGCTGCTTTATTACTCAAGGAGCAAAGAGGAGCTGAATTCTGGGATTTGGGTCCTTGCTTGGAAGTCCTTGTTGTGTAAATTTGGCATAGGCTACTTCTGTTTCAGAGAACCATCTCTTTCTTCAGCTTAGAGCTGTGTAGATACTAGGACCATGCTTGCATGAAGCCAAGGAAATGAGTTTCCTAGTCGTGTTCTATGTACCTCTTGTACGAAGTGGGCTTGCAAACAGATCTTTATTAGATCTCACCTATTTATGCTCTCTGATACAGTAATCGGTAGACCATATAGTTTTTAAAAGATTCCTTTATGAAGTCTTTTGGCTAGCACTGAAAAATAAGCTTTGCTCCCCCTTCTCAGAGCTTCCAGTCTTCAAAACCGGCCTGTTTGGGTTGTTTCTGCTACATTCTTCTCAAAGCCATGCTGTGGGTTTTCCATTGCTTTTGGAAAATTTCACCCATTATGTTTTAGGGCCCACTTTTGCATACTATTCTCTGAGTAACACTTATTCTTGACAGTTTGGTTCCCTTCAGTTGTGTACTAGTGTGAAAGTGTTTTGTTCGAAGAGTGGTACACAACTGAGAGTTTAGACCCTGATTTCTTTAAGATCAGAAACCCATATATAGTTTTAAGCTGTATGTGAATTTTGGATCACTGGTGACCAATGAAACATCTAAGCACGGTCTGTGTAAAATACTTTGGCAATTGCAAATGCCTTGAAGGAATTTGGAAGCATGTGGGTCTGTCTCTTCTTTTGTACCAGAAAAAAAGCCCTATTTAGTTTGGGTGTAGGGGCTGCGCTCCCTCTTCTGAAGAGTAATGCTTTGTATCATCAATGATTCCCTGGATGTGATGGGGTTTTGCGTTTGCTTCTGGCAAGCATACAGTCAAATGTAGTTACCAGATGACCACAGTCCATTGCATGGGGCAGTCACTGATGAGCCTCTGATGCACTGGAAATGAGTTAGCTGTGAATTGCTTTGTGTCTTAGTTTGCTGTTGGTTTCCCCTCTCCCAGCTGGCCACTTGTAATGTAAATTGGGTGGGATGTTTTTGGTTTGTGAATTGAAATCCCTTTGCACTGGGAAGACTAGTTTACAGTGTTTGGTCCCTGGGCAGATGAGCCTTTCACCCATACATGTGTGGACAAAAAGCCCACTTCAGAAAGGTGTGTGACACCAGTTTCGTGACCTCTTTTTTTGTACTGACTTACCTTATCACAAGCTCATTTGCATGACCCAAACCAGACTCGGGCTGTTCCTGCTGTTGTGAATTTATTTCAATTTTTATTTCAATATTTTCCCATTTATCTTTCACAATAGATGGGAGGAGTGGAGGGAGGGAGGGAGGGAGGGAAGAGGTGGAAAATAAAAAGGTGCACAAGGATTAATTTGCTGTGTAATTTCCTCTTTCAGAAGGAGGGAGATACACACCTGGGAAAATAGGTTATCAGACCTCTAAGCACATAGGTGAAATATTGTCCTTTCTAATAGACGCTCTGGTGTCGTGCTGAGGTAGTCACTTACTCAGCACTAAAACTATACGACCAGATTCATTTTGAGGAGACATGAGATGGTTTCCTGTGCGTGTGCATTTTTACTGTCTTTAGCTAAGTTAGGGCTCTTGGGGCTTATCACTTTTTAATGATTTGTTCTTACCCCTGCTCCTTGCTTCTGGCTGTTTGTTCTTTACTACTTAGGTTATTACTCACGTTCATGCAGAGACCTGAGAGTTAATAGAAAATGAAGATTGGAGTTGCTCTTCCCTTCCCTTGTCCTGTAAGGTTATCTGGGACAGCTTCATGCATGTTTATATATGGCTTTGCAGCTTCTTGGCTTCTGACTGTGTTACAGTTGTGTCAAAGGTATAAAACTAAAGCTGGGAAGCTAGCAGCTTACTGAAATTAATTTAAATTTATAAAGCCACTGATTAATCATCTTTTAATGCAGGTGTAAACTTAAGAGCAATAGACAGTCTATATACTAATTGTAATCTTTCATATGAATTTTGTAGTAGTCATACATATGTATTATATACCTACATATATATATTTAGCACAGAGGTCACAAAGTCAAGTCATTATACAAAAAGTTCTCTAGTCCTTGCTGAATTTATGTGCATGTCTTTGTCCATTGGAACACAGGGCTCTTAGGTACATGCTTGTCTTTAAGCGTTGAATATATTCAAGCAAATTAAAGAAGAAGGGTTTTATTTTAGTATATTTTACTTTTTATTTTAGTATACTTCATCACCTTGATGGTAAAGAAATGGTGGTTATTTTGTGTAACCTTAAGTCACTTAGCAAGATGGCTGTTTTCTAGTCAGTCCTCAGCCTCCAACTTGGGTGCTTTCTCCTTTCAGATACTTGCTGCATTAATACAGGTGCAGATCTGAGTCTTCATAGTTGCAAGAGGAGCTTTTTGTGGCTCCCTTTGCCTTGGAAGAAGTGTTGGCTACCTCAGCAGACTGTTTCTATTGGCCTCCAGGACAGATAAGCACATCATTCCGCCATGGAGCGGGTGGAGTTGGACGAGCCAAGGCAGGAAGGTTCTGCCTGGGATGATGTATGTCCTCCATCTCTGACCCCTCCAGACCTGGAATGGGTCTCGCTGCCTATGGCCGATATAGATGTATATTTTAGTCTTTTCTCCAAGGTCACAAGAACCTTTCTCTTTGATGATGATGGGTGTGTCAGCACATATGTTTTTACTACATCTCATCTTGGGAATTCTTTGCAAGTGAGAGGGTTCAGACCTGCTCCAACCCTCCCTGTACTGGGGTAATGTTGCAGGGTTTTCATAATGGCTAGATGGCCTCAGTGGGGAATGGCTGCATCAGCAGCAATGCTAGCAGAAGTCTAGAGGTAGAGAAGCACATCTTTACGTAGGGTGCTGCCTGCAGTGCCGTTGATGTCTTGAAATACTGCATAAAGTAGCTGAAAGACCACTCTTTTCTTGTCCTTGCAATTATCTGCAGATGGATCCAGAGCTGTATATAATGAATGGGGGCAGATGTTTTTAAGTGGAGTTGTTTTATACAGCAGTTGGTTTATCAGTCTGATGTTGCTCTTCTCTCAGTGACAGTCAGGTTACACTTCAGTTATTTGAAGAGATTCTCATTGCCAAATACTTGACTCAGCATTTGACTCCACAGAGGCAGCAGATCTTGCCAGTGGGAAGGAAGGAAACAGAAATGAGCTGCTGTGCCAGGGTTGGGTAAGGAATCTTCCATCATCTAAGGGCCACCAGTGAATAGCAACTATGTCGGTAGGTTTGCAGATGTTTCTCTCCCAACAGATGCTTTCTGCTTTTTGTCTGAAACTTTCACCTTCTGGTGTGTATTAAATGTCCTATCAGCTATTTATGGGAGTGTTGTAACCTCCACAGAGGTGGGATGAGAGGGCTGTAGAGAAATGATGCATTGATTTATTGGTGGGATTTATGGGGCAAAAATTAACTACCTTATTTTTTATTACTGTTCAAATAAATATAACAGCAAGTCTTATACAAAAAAAACCACCCTCAAATCAGGCTTGAACCTCTTCTTCTTGCTGCTGTGCCCTTGATAAATATGCCTAGATTCAGTAGTCCTTCCATGAATTTTCAAGCTGCCAAGGGCATGAAGAAGTTCTTCCTAGCTATTGAACTGTAAATTGTTGTATATGACACCTGGAGGAGTTGGAATGGTTCTGTACAAGTAACTCAGTGTATTCATCACACTTTCCCTATTGCGTGCAGTGGTTCACGTTGAAGCCGAGAAAGATGATTCATATTGCTTTCTTCTCTTCCCACTGTCAGTAGCAGTGGTAGCCCTCAGAGCAACATTCGAAACAGTAAATGCCTGGCCCACAGCCATGTGTTACTACTGCTCTGCTGGGCCCTCTGATGATACTGTAATCAGATGAGAGACAAGGTAAGAATTGTTCTTTTCTGCAGGGAAAATCAGACTAGGGTATTTAAGTACTAATCGAAAAACAATTTTAAAGAAGTGTTTAAATTGGCCAGCAGACATTTTTCAGTCCTATGGCCTATGCTCTCAGGAAACACCCTTTTTTTTTTTTTTTTTCTCCAATATAAGTTATTTTAGATGATTTGTGAGACTTTACGCTCTGTTCTGAATTTTCATGTGAATATTAGCACCCCTGGGATATGCTGCCAACCCAGAACATGGATGTTTTGTGTTCCCTTGGCATCAGTCTAAGTGGTTGCACTAGAGGGGGAGTATCCAGTAACTGTGCTCCTATCAGTTGTTAATATTACACTACTATCATATGAATAGGGTTGGGTTATGTGCTGGCTGTACCCTTTAAAATGCAAGGCTGTGGTGTACAGGTGTGGCTGAAGGGGGCATTGGAGGTAAAACAATCTGTTTGCAATTTTGGGACTCAAAATGGCAGTAAACCTTTTTATTTCCCCTGATTTGATTTAGATTCTCCTTCACCTTGGCTCTGAACTACATTCCTGTCATGCTGCTGTGCTAGGTACCTCCAGGCATTTGTCAGAGACTGGCTAATTGAAGCACACACTCCAGCTTGGATCGAAACTGCCTTTTTGATCAAGATTGTAGATGCTGCTGTTGCTTCCTTGTGGAGTTCTTTTCATGAAGTACTAGGACTTTGGTTTGTAGGTTTTGGTTCTTGTCATGGTTTAACCCCAGCCAGCAACTAAGCACCACGCAGCCACTCACTCACTCCTCCCCCCCTGCCCTCAGTGGGATGGGGAGGAAAATTGGAAACAAGTAAAAATCGTGGACTGAGATAAGAACAGCTTAATAATTGAAATAAAAAATAAAGTATAATAATAGTAATAATTGTAATGAAAAGGAAGTTAATAAAAAGAGAGTGAAATATAACCCAAGAAAGACAAGTGATGCACAAGGCAATTGTTCACCACCTGCTGACTGATGCTCAGTCAGTCCCCGAGCAGTGATCTGCCCCTCCTAGCCAACTCCCCCCAGTTTATATACTGAACATGATGTCATATGATATGGAATACTCCTTTGGCCACTTTGGGTCAGCTGTTCTGGCTGCATCCCCTCCCAACTTCTTGTGCCACTCCAGCCTTCTTGCTGGCTGGGCATGAGAAGCTGAAAAATTCTTGACATAGTATAAACGCTACTTGGCAACAACTAAAAACATCAGTGTGCTATCACATTATTCTCATACTGAATCCAAAACACAACACTATACCAACTACTAGGAAGAAAAGTAACTCTATCCCAGCTGAAACCAGGACAGTGCTTCAGGGTTTTTAGGAAAGCACAAAGTCTCTGAACATACCAGAAAGTGGAAGCTTAGGGCAAAGGCAGCTGCAGGGAACAGTCCTGCTGTAATTCTGCTTGTGAACTGAGATGTTCTCATCAGTTCTGGAACTGCAGCCCACTTGCAAATGGGTGCATAATCCAATAAAGGAGTGAAATGCTTGGACATCTTAAGCCCTGTCCTTTGGATACTTCTACACACTTGTTAGCTGTTCACCCCTACAGATCTGTCGAAGTGCCTGACAGTTCTGTTGTTTAGCCTAAAATGCAAGTTTGTATTTCTGTTATTTCTCTTCTTTTACATACCTTGGTGCCTCTGTGATTTTCACATTCAAGGATGTTTTTCCTTTCAACAGCTATGTCTTGCTGTGGTATTAGCATCTTAATCTCCTAAGATGTCTGTGAGACTTACTGGTTGTGACTACCCTGTTTGTCTCAACAGACAGGAAAAAGAGGCTCTCTTCTTTTTCCTCCACCCTTCTCGGGACAAGTCCATGCTGACAGGGCCTCCAACTTCAGGCTAAGTTGTGGCTGCTGGGGGTCTTTCAGGCATGCAGGAGGCCACATGGCCCTCTGCATGGCAAGTGTGGATGGGGGTAGAAGATGGGAGGAAGGTGTGCTGGGAGCAGAGCATGTCAGGCTTATGGCTGCTCCACCAGCAGTTCTTTCAGAGCAACAGTGACAGAGCTGATAACTTAATCCTTCCTGTCCTTTATCATGTTTAAGCTGTCTTCTGTGATCTTGGAGGCTCTGACTCCTGCCTTCAGCCCTGGAGCCCATGGGGTTCTGAATACAACCTTGGGGTACACAAGAGGGTTTGATTGTTGGTGGGTTATTCACAGAAAGCTGCTGCCATTGTTGTGGCTGCTGGTGTGGTGTGTCCTACCCAGATCCCTTTGACAGCTTCAATCTTTTCATCTGTAAAATGGGAGATGTGTTTCTTCAGGTGATAAAGGCCTAATATTAAAGTGTCATCTGAGAGAAGGCAGACAATCTTACTGCCACCTAGGCAAAAATAGTTAACAAGTAGTGGGCTGTGGGAAGCACCATGGTGAGGCCATGAGCAATACCCAGGGGTCTTGCAGGCAATGTTTTACCCTTGGTTTCTCATGTCAGTCTAGGTGAACATCATTTACTTACCAAGCTGCTCTTATGAGCATGAATTATCTCTGCTTCCTTTACAGGCACACTGGAACTAATTACATTTGCAGGTACGCAGTTGGCATAGCTGTAGGAGAGGGAATTGGTTTATCTGTGTCACCCTGCTGACCTGTCATTGCTTATGACAAAATGGGAACCTGAAAAAGCACAAGTGACACCTGACTTGAGTCAGAACAGCTACCAAAGCCATCTCCTGCCTTGGGAACTAGCAAGTGACTCTCCAGTGCCATTCATCTGAACACACATTGCATACAGCTGCAGGAGCAGGCCATTATGTCCCTGCAGTGATCCTAGGGTAGGATCCATCCTAATGGGGATGAGGGGATTGTTAGAGTGAATATTTTAGCATTTGAGAAATAGTGTGCTTTTCCATAACATGTATATATTTTATATGTATAAAATATGCATATATCTGTGGAGGAGAATAAATAGCTATGAATTTGTCAGGTTGATGTAGAGTCATGTAACCTAAGTGTGTGTGTGTGTGTGTGTAAAATGTGTTTTATCATACTTACACCTTTGTAAACCTAATATTTGTGTAAAACTTGCATCCTGCATCTCTTAAGCCTGGGAGTATGTCATGCTTGAAGCAGTTGAGCAAAGTGGGATTTGGCCATTGAGATACTCTTCAAAAAATACCTTTTCCCCTGTCAAAGTATATTCTTGCTTAGAAATTTTCAATATTTGACTGAAGTCCTGGTCCTTTTGACATCAGTTTTAGTGTTAGCTTCTGCAGAATCAAAATGCCATCATCTTTGTGTGGAGTCCCAATCTTGATGTCCAGAAACCTAATGCTTGCTTTGTCTCCTTGTGTATTTATCAATACAAGGACTCTTTTTTGTCAGTTCAGGCATGAAATTTTTTTGTGCTCTCAAGCTGAGATGCACTTTTGGTTCAAAAGCACTGCAGGAAGAACAATTTGTTGTAGACCGTACTTCTGGGACTATAAATAATAAATGCTGTAACTCGGAATGACGCAGGCACCCCTGCAACATATACATGCAAGGCAAAGATTCAGTAAATAATGATTTACCTGCTCTTTGTCAGTCTTAAACCAAGAGGGATCTATTCAGACTTCTTTGCTAGCTTGATGAGTTTTGTTTGTGCTGTACTGCTTTTTAGGAGTTCTAAAAATGTTGTTTTTCTTTGGTGGTGCTGTTTTTGGAGGCTGCAACTTTATGAGAGAGATTAAATATTTATCAAACTCTTAGTTCTGAGTGAAGACAACCTGTTCAAACCTTACCAACTTGCAGTAGGCTGGTGGTGCTGACTGTTTGAGAAGAGCTTGGGACTGCCACTCTCAGTTCTTTATGGTTCAGTAGTAATAGACAGTGATTATTTCAGAGTTGCTGGATTTATTTTATTATGGTTTTTTCTCCCCTTAATGATGTAGTTTTGTTCAGTTACTTTGTGGTGTGGCAGATTGACAATAGGACCCTCTTCAGGAGTGGGATTAAACTACCCAACTTCATGTGATGTGATAAATTTTACCTGTGAAATCTATGCATATACCTCATTCCAGGAGTAGATAAGAAGCTTACTCATAAATACAAGACCAGTCTGTAAACATCATACTTTCTTCTCGATTAAAGTCAAAGCTTCACTAAGATAAGGAACCCAGCGTGGTGTCTCTGGGTTATCAGAGGTCCCACTGACAAAGTCCCTAACCAGAACTGAAGCTCTGTGGAGTCAGTGGAAAGGCTGTCCGTTAGCATCAGTGGAAGCTAGGTCATGCAGTGGAGGTTTCCAAAGCGCAGAAAACACAAAGTCAAGATGTGTTTTCTTAAGTGAAGTCAGCTACAAATCTAACTCCACGCCTTATCTTTCAAAATTCAGAGGAAAAACATCTGACTTGTTCCACACGAGACAGCACCTTTGCGTTCAGAGGGGCCAGAGGGCAGTGAGATGAGCTAAAAAGAGAAGGGTGACTCTGGATGTCCTTAGTTCCGACAGGACAGGCTGGGGACACTGGGTGGGCCTGCCAAGGAGGGGATCTCTTTTATTTGCTCTTTTTTTTTTTTTCTCATTTCCCCCAAGCATCTGTGATCAACCAGTGTCCCTTTGCGATCCTCTCAGGATGGGCATAGGCTCATGCTGTAGTTCAAAGTCCACCTTGAATTGGTGGGAAGAGGTGGCACAGGCCTGGAAAGGAGGGTACTGAGGTAGATGTCACCTTGTCCTGTCAATCCTAGTGCTTTTTAATGTTTCCAAGTGGGCCAGAACCATTTTGCTTGTTCTGTACCAAGAAGGCAGAGGTGTAAAAGCAGCACTCCAGAGCAGGAGAGAGAAAATGTCTGTTTTATTTCTGTGATGCCCTAGTTTAGTAGATACAACAGTTGTATTTATTCATCATGTTGGCAGGCTTATTTTTGAAGGTCTAGTGTTGTCAAGAACCTTTTGTCGATTTTGCAGAATGTTATTTGGGTTTATTCTTTGTTTCTTTCAGCTTATTTTTCTTCTGTATTTGGCTTTTAACTGGCAGTCAGAAACCC